ACCTAATAGTTAGTCCCGAATAGATTGTGAAAAACGCTATTTTCTTCGAGAAAAAATCATGACAATGTGTATAATACATCAAATAAAGTTAAGCTTAATAAATAACACTGAAAAATACTAGAAATAAGTACGCTTTTATTGAAAATATTTTATCATAATAATATTCTTTCACTCAGAAACGCTTTTTTGTTTTGGCAGGGAGAAGGGGGCTAATATACCGAATGACCTACAGCTGTTTTTAACAACATTTAAAGTGTTTTAGATGCACTTTTCCTTTACAAAGACCATTAAGATCCCAGCATGGGCCCTGTCATGAAGTTAGGCTGCAGAGTAATCGTTCTGAGAGAAGACGGCAGCAGAGACCTCTGATCGCTCATTCTCACTGCGTCTGTGATCTCCTCCTGAATGAAATAATAGTGAAATAAAAGTCTCTAATTTCACTGAGGGGTGCCCAGGGAGCCTCTTGAGGGCCCCTGAGGGTCCCCAGACCCCACTTTGGGAGCGGTCGGTCCGGCCCACGTTTACAGGCTGCGGTAATGATGCTTGTTTGTCCAGCGGTCTGTAAATCACACCGACATTAGAGGTGTCACAGGATCCACTGGAGACACAGCAGACCATCACTAATACCCCCCACCCTGGAGACGCACCCCCCCTCACTCCACCCCCTGATCCATAACAGCAGCCAAACAGAACAAAAAACACCCGGCTGTACAGGACATAAAAGTAGTTTTAAACCAATACCGACCATCTTTAACACTGTACATCATTTAGATGTGAAAGAAGCTCTAAAACAAAGAGGACAGCCCTCAATTAAAAGCAATTTAATTAGAATATATGTAATACTCGTATATATGTGGGATCACTTATCACAAGGAACATTGGGTTTTGTGACAGTTGCTCCATTTTAGAATAAAAAAACAAACAAACATAAACATAATAATTTAAAGTAAAATGTCCTATAAAAAGATATGTAATACAAAAAAATACACAATTATTAAAAGTAATATTGGCAATAAAGAGAGGATCAATGAGAAGTTAGAGTAAGAATGTGCATTGTTCTACACTATATATCATTTACTGTACTGTATAATATATACAGCAGTGTATCATTTGTATTAGATATTAATGCTTATAATATCTGAGGATTTTTTGCCTTAATACTTAATATTACAAAATAATCCTTTAGGGTTATAAAAGCGAGATTTAAACTCTGCTATTATTTTTATTACTAAACCCAACCTGATACTATTTTTGCTTTATTTCTATATCATGAAATAGTAGTACTGTTTAGTAATGTAGCACTTTTCTTTACAAGGTTAGAAAGTGCTTCACTGAAATAGAACCCAAATAGAAAATTACATTTAAAATACACAAAAATGAGGGTTCATACAAGGACTGATTGTTCCTTTCTTTTTAAAAAAAACAATAACCCTTAAAACGGCCATATTTAGCTAATTTTCAGTATTTTTATGTAGTGCCTCTCCTGTGACATGTCTCCATGCTTTAATGTTTCAAAAAGCTCTTTATTTTTCTCATACTGCCTGTGCTGCAGCACCTCTTTTCACCCTCTGTCTGAAACCAGAGCCCAGTCTGCTCTGATTGGTTAGCTGGCTGGCTCTGTTGGGATTGTTCAACCGCTATCATGTACAATGTGTTGAACATAGTGATGTCATTATGTTACAGAAGTAAACAAAGGAGTCAAATGGAGATGTTTCAGGCCGGGGGGGGGAGTGTGTGGGAGAGAAACTCCCTCTGGAGGGAACACAGGGATCTTCGCCTTTGCAGACCATTTACATGCACAGAAACCTAAAGAACGCACTATAGGAAAGGGAAAAACCCAAAAAGTACAACATCAGGGGTGTCCAAACTTTTTTCACCAAGGGCCAGATACAGAAAAATATACTAAGGGGCCCCCACTAGAGGTGAAGTATATTGCCTCATAAGTTCAGTTATAAGTTGGTCAAATCAATCAAATGTAGGTAAATTATGCTTGATACTTGAAAATGCCATAAGACAAAAAACAGCCTATATCACAGTTCTCCAGAGGGTTTCATTTATTGTGTTGGCAGCTCATCCCTTAAAACAGGAGCCTCAGATTGCTGATAATAAGGGGAAATATGAAGGGTGTATTTCAAGGTTGTTAGGTAAATAAGTTATTGGGCCTTTAATTTACTGAATTTATTTGACAAGTGGGCTTATAAACACATGAATACTACTGTGTAATATATTTTTACATATATATTATTTAAGAAGTACGCTAGTGAGCACGCTCATGAACTGTTCGCCCGTGCCTCACAGCAGGGTTACTGTGCGGAGCGCATAAAGCAGACCCTTCACGCGATAGCGAGGGGTAGAGTGAGGGATCGCAGATACCGTTGTGGTCGCGGACGGATTAAAAAAATTAAACTTTGGCGGCCGTTAATATACCTGGGCGGCCCGCCCAAGTAAAGTCTATGTGTGGGAAACCCTGCTATCTTACCAGTTCTTATGCAACTCGCAAATATCTCTCTCTCTCTCTTCTCTCTCTCTCTCTCTCTCTCTCTCTCTCTCTCTCTCTCTCTCTCTCTCTCTCTCTCTCTCTCTCTCTCTCTCTCTCTCTCTCTCTCTTTTCTATCTCTCTCTTTCTCTCTTCTCTCTTTTCTCTCTCTCTCTCTTCTCTCATCTCTCTTTTTTCTCTCTCTCTCTCAATGTTGGTGCGCAAATGCGCCTTTTTTCAAATGATCCGGTGCTCCTTTTTTGGCGGGGGGTGCGCATGCGCACCTGCGCACCAGTTATGTGCAGCCCTGATTATAGGGCCCCTTTAACTTCATCTGGTTTGGTCATCATCAGGTCAAGTGGACAACATATATATATATATTTTTTTTCACTAATTTACTGTTCTGTTTAGTGTTCAGTTATTTTTAATCCATCTGTTTCTACACACAGAAACCCCTCCTCAGTCTTGGCTCTGATTCCAACTAGCAGCACCTCTATCCCAGCCCCCCCCCCCCCCCCCTGTGGTCTCTGCAGCGTTCTCCATTCATTACAGCTGCTTTACTGTGAGACAAGCAGCTTTTATTGGCACTGCTGCCTGTAAAATCGGTCGAGAGACTAACCTTTGCACAGAGGGAGGGTTTGTTAGAGGAAAGATGGACGTTCACACAGTAAACAGGAAGCAGCCCACAAATACACACTGTCATTATTTCCCACACAGGACTGCACATAGACACATTTTCAGGCAATGTTTGTGTGTGTGTTCTGATATTTATTAGGAAGCGACGGCTCCTTTAACCTCGCCCATCGACCGCCCAGCGCTCCCATTACGGCTGACTGGGGTGTCCACAGGGAGAGAGAATGTGAGTGTGTGTTTGTCTTCAAAGTGGAATCTTTAAAAGGCTATAGGGTGTTTCTTGGAGTGTTTATGAGCTGAAACCTCCCTGTGAGCTATTTAAGGTTCATTTATCCAATCCGACGCTCTCCACTGAAATGAGTTGTTGTTCAAAGAAACAGTGTGTTTTATTTCTACATCATTTAAAGAGGTCCTTTATGATTGTTGTGCTTTACCCTCTCCTGTAGTGTGTTGTATAGGATTTGTGCACATGTCAATCCCAATGAGCCTCCATTGGACTCTTTTGTTTACTTCTGTAACATAGTGACATCACTACGTTACACTTCTATTGGCTAGCACTCCAACATATTGTACGTGATAGGCTAAGGGACAGGACATCTCTTAGTGGTTGACCAATCACAACAGAGCCGGCCAGCTAACCAATCAGAGCAGACTGGGCTCTGGTTTCAGACAGAGGGTGAAAAGAGGTGCTGCAGCACAGGCAGTATGAGAAAAATAAAGAGTTTTTTGAACATTAAAGCATGGAGACATGTCACAGTAGAGACACTACATATGAGCCTGAACATTAAAGCACGGAGACATGTCCCAGTAGAGACACTACATACTGTATGAGCCTGAACATGAGCACAAGTTGTTCTCTTTAAGAAACAGGTTTAGAACCATGAAAGAGAACATGACTGTCGATATGTAGAACACAAAATGTAGGGTTTTGCTTTTCAGTGAGGAAACCAATGTAACGGATGATTACGATGCAACGTGATAGCCTGTAACAATATGCCCAATATGCTAATAGGCTAAAGCTAATGTTGTGATTTAGGGAAAATATAAGCTAGTTAGCAAACTAAACGGTTTATTAAATAGTATGATGCTCTGCCCCAAACCCCAACAAAAAAACGAATTCTAAACCACTCAAAAGTAAGAATGCTAATTTGATAATAATACAATACATTTGCTAGTAATTGCACATTTTCTAATTTGTTAACTGGAACTATGAGATTTTTAAAGTTTCTGATTCTTCTGTTAATATACCTTTTGAATAATTGTTTCAGCTGTACTTTTGAGAAGTTTAATTTTGACTCATAAGTTAACTCGTCAAATTATACATTTTAAAGAAACTAAAGCTGTAAATGTAGTGCAGTAGAAAGTACAACATTTGAATCCGAGGTATCATGACATAGAAGTACATATCATTTCTACTAAAGCACAGCTCTTGAGTGAGTGTACTAATCAGAGGTGGAAGAAGTACTCACATCTTGTACGTAAAAGTAGAAGTACCAGAGTGCAGGAATACTCTGTTAAAGTAAAAGTCCTGCATTCAAAAATGTTACTCAAGTAAAAGTACAACAGTATTGGCATCTAAATATACTTAAAGTACCAAAAGTAGTCATTGTGCAGATTGGTCCATCTCAGAATAATATATATGATATGTTTTATAATGATTGATCATGAAAGTGTTCTCAAAGCTGGTAAAGGTGCAGCTAGTTTGAATGACTTTGTATACTGCAGGGTAGCTTGTGAAGTGTTATACTTAGTTACTTTACACCACTGGTAAGTTAGAATCCAGTACTGCACAAGATAAATGTGATAAACATGATAGCATTATAAATCAACTTGTCATAGTTAAGCCTGGATAAAAAACCTCCACGCTTACATTCACAAAAATGGTTGAGTATTAAGAGATTACATTTTTATTTATTCTTTCATCATAAATTAACCGATCAGAATTGCAACTTTATTCAATAAAAAAAATATTGAAAAGAATATCAGGTAAGCTTTCTAACAACGTTGCTGTCACATGATAAATTAAATGTATTCTTTAATTAACTTCTTTGCACCTTGTACCCTAGAAAAAGACACATCTGTTGGACATTAAAAGGTTATTTTTGGAATGTTTTTAAGTGTTTCTCCGTCACTTCCCGGGGCAGAAGGGGCAGGAGTTGTTCTTGCTGGACTGCAGCCACACCCGGATGCAGTCTCTGTGGATGGTGTGGCTGCAGCTCAGGGGGTGCCGGCTCTCTGGGTCCACGTGGTTCTGGCACACCAGGCAGGGCTTCAGAGCCCCGGCAGCCTGACCCCCGTCTGCCGCTCTCTGCGGGGGGGGTGTCGGCCTCTGGATGGGGCCCGGGGGTGCGGGCCGGCTGATGGGCCCCGGGGCCGACCTCTCGTTCTGCACCAGCTTGAAGCCCACCTGCTCGATGACCTCTTCCATGGACATGCCGGCCAGCGTGCCGCGGGAGCTCTTCACCTGTTGGAGCAGCGACGTCAGCTGAGCCCTGTTGCATTGTGGGTAGCGAGCCCCAAGCTTCTCGAGGACCTTGTCGAGTTTACCGGCGGGGGCGGAGGTGGCAGCAGCGCCGGGGGGAGGCGGGGATGGAACTGCAGGATGGACAGGCTGAACGGGAGGGGACGGGGAGAGACTGGGAGGGGGGGTCACCCTCATCTGAGCTCTGATGTGGGGCTGGAAGTGAGGCTGGGGCAGGTAGACAGGCTGGTGCATGGGTGGGAGGGAAGGCTGGAACTGGTGTGGGGGTGGGGGGTGGTTGTAGCGGTGGCGGAACTGGGGATGGGGAGGAAGTTGGAACGGTTGCTGGTAATAGTGTGGGTGTCTCTGGGGAGGGAAGGGTCGAATCACTGGGATTGGAGGAGGAGGGGGCATGAACTGGGGGCGGACCAGGGACTGCATCACCTGGTTAAATCTCAGGTCAGCCTGCAGGAAGAAAGAAGAGTTAGCTAGAAGTAAAGATTCAAGGCTTTACTGTCATGTGCACAGTAGCTACAGTGTAGACATGGCCATGACAAACTGAAGTCACAGGCTCCTCCAACAATGCAACATACAAATACAATTGAAATAGTGAGTCAGTCAGTAAACATTTAAACTCTGACCCGAGGGACCAAAACTTTAAAGAAGAGCGGCTCTCCACCTTGAGTATAAATATATCTATCTATTTTGGTGGGGGGTGTCTTACCATAGGGACCTGGGGCAGTGATGGCACGTTGATCCTCGGGAGGGTCTCTAGCTCCCGGCCCTGCTGCAGCTGCTGCAGAACCTCCTGGAAGCGTCCCTGGAGCTCCGCCTGGTTCCTCCGCACCAGCCCTTCCTTCTTCTCCCACTTCTGCCTCTCCTGAGGGTACTGCTGCGGGAACTCCGCCCTGAGCGTGTTCAGGTACTGGCCCACCTGGGACAGGTCACCACAGGGTCAACATTGGAACGTCGGGGTCTGGTCATAGTCTAGTTTCCAGCAATGTGAACCCGGAAATGTTGAGTACCCCAAAATGTATGATAGAAATGTAAAGTAGTGCACATGGAAACTGCAGGCTGCTAACTTGTATATGTTGGGCATGTAGGCTATAATGCTATTTAACGCAAATATGCTAATCGTGCAAATTGCCCAACATATGCAAGTTAGCATCCGCCAGTTTCTATGTGTATTTCTATCAAAAAACGTTTGTGTACTCAACATTTCCAGGTTCAGAATATGAGCTGGTAAATAGACAGTATCATTCTGAGTTCAAAGCTGAAGTCCGTACCTCTCTCAGCCAGCCCTCGATGCGGGCCATGGCGACCTCCCTCTGCTTCTCCACGGCGGAGATCTCGTCCTGCAGGGCCAGCAGCTCGGCCTCCTGCGCCTCCTTACTCCCCCGCTCCATCTCCTGCCGCAGCTCGTCCAGCTCCTCCTGCCACCTCCGCTGCTCCTCGCTCTGGTCCTCCATGAGAGCCGCCAGCTTGATCTCGTTTTCCTCCAGCTCCTTGGCCAGCCTGGAGAGGAGAAGGAGTTTGTTCAACAATATTATGTATTTGTATATTATGTATTTGTTGATTTAGATGCAACTGACACAAGACAGTTTTTTTTTTTAACAGTTATGCAGAGACCTCCCCGGGCGCCGTACAATAGCTGCCCACTGCTCCTAGTAATGGCGCATTTCCACCACACGGTCGGCCTCGGCCACGCTCGGTACGGCTTGGCCGCGTTGGGCCTTAACAGGGCCGACTCACTTCATGCTGCGCTTCCATTACAGTTTAGGAACTGGGGTAGTTACTATAGTAACGCAGTGTAGGCGGAGCCGTGACGTCATCTTCAATGAGAACCACAGAAACACAACACAGCTGTTAGCTGTTAGCACTCAGAGCTCACAGCTCCTCATATATGTTCAGAAACTAGACAAAAGTTAAACAAGTACAAACCACAGACTGTCTGTGTCATGGTGAATACAGTCGCTGCTTTATTTATGTCTGTATAGGCCGTTGTTGTGAGTGTGGACGGTCGGAGCATATACTGCGTTAGCTTAGCCAATCTCCATCTAGAAAAACACGCATTTTAAAAGGTTTTTCGCCTGCCGTCTGTCTGCAGACTTGTCAAAGCATTAATTCATGGTTTTTACTAACCGGTATCAGTATGTTGTTACTTCGGCATCATTTTGAAACGTGTATTACAATTAAATCACGGTCAAATATGTCCATCTTGTTGTAGCCCCCTTGCCAGCGCTCCTCTCTCTAGTTTAGCATACTCAGCCCGACTCAGCCCTGTTTGTTGGCCCCGATAGAACCACAATTTTGTCGGGCCAGAAAAGAGGTGAAAAAGTGGCCCCGGGCCGGGCCGGAACTAGGCCTAGTGGAAGCGCAACCAAAAACGGGCACGGCACGACACGGCACGCTTAAAGCGAGCTCCGCGCTGTAGTGGAAATGCGCCATTAGACTCCTGGTACTAGGATGGGTTAAAGCAGAGCACACATTTCACTGTGTGTGCTCTGCATGTGTGACCATTAAAGAGGGTTTCATTCCTCCCAATATTATTATTATTATGGCTTTCATGGAGTGTGAGAAGTGTCCAGCGTTCCACACCCAACTTTTCGTCATTGATACAGCACTGGTTAATTAAAAATATTATTTGAAAACATGCCCTTTGGTGGATGATGTGTTTGACAAATCACAGGGGATGCATGAGCATATTCAAAAAGAGATGGTGAAAAGAATTGAATTGGTACATTTGGCTGCTGCGTTGTTAGAATAGAGTTCAGCTAACCAGCAAGCGGTTCCTGATCTGCTTTAATCTTATTTTTAAATGTTCTGGGTGGACTGGACTCTATCAGTCTGGTTGGAGCCGGTTAAATCCCTGGCCTTGCTGCGCGTTCATTTCTTGTTATTTCAAAGAAAGTGAAGAACATGTGCTGTATCCGCCCAATGATAGGGAACCGCTTCATGATTTAATGGATTCTTCCTTAAGACATTATTCTCCCTTTCGACTAATTTGACAAAAAAAGACATGCTGTCTTCTTGGTATTTACCTGTTTCTCTCCTCCTCTGCTCTGTTCTTCTCTGAGGTCATTTCCTGTTTCTTGGATAGGAAGTTCTTCCTGGTGGCCTTGGAGTTGTTTAGCTGCAGTTTAACTCGCAGAGACTCCAGTTTGTCCAGAAGAGCCTGGAAACAAAGTCACAGTGTGATGGAGGAACAACTTCTGTTTTCACTTTTAAACAGTGTGTATGTGAGGGTCTCACCTGGTGCTGCCGGGTGGCCTCCTCCTTCCTCCTCTGCACCTGTTGCTTCTGTTTCTCATGCGCCACCCCCTCCTCGCCCTGCTGCTTCTTCATGTTGTCGTACTGTTCCGTGAGGCTGGAGCTGTAATCCAACATGGCCGCCACCTGACTCTCCCAGTCCGTGTCCGTGTTGATGCCCACCTCTTCGGTCATATTCTCCGTCTGCACTGACTGCACTTTTTGCAGCAGGTCTGGGAAAGGAAAGGAAACCAGTAAATAAGAGGCTCAAAAACTGTAAACAATGCGAAGCATAGTATTAAGAGACAAGAACAGGCTGCATCACATTAAGACTCATGGGTGACTCATATTAACATTATATACATTTGTTGATGTTATATTCATTTATTTTAATCTGAGTCTAAATGTGTCATATTTTATAAACTCGCATATGGGAAGCATTTTGCTTGGCAAGCCCAGTCTGCTCTGATTGGTTAGCTGGCCTGCTCTGTTTTTATAATATGTTGGATCACTAGCCAATACAAGCATGAGTGTTGCATGGTGATGTCACTGTGTTATAGAGGTGAACAAACAAGTCTAATGGAGGCCTTTCAGGCAGAGGGGGGGAGTGTGTGGGAGAGAAACTTTGAAATGTTAGCCTTTGCAGACAATTTACAAACACAAAAACCTAAATGACACACTACAGGAAAGGAAAAACCAAGAAAAGCATAATCATAACCTTTTTTAATGCAACAACATATCCTGTATTGCACAATACTCGACTGACTTCCTGTTTGATTCTGAGATAAATTACAGATAACTTACTTCTCAGGCAAGCTTGTGTCTCTTACATGTTAATAGTAAGAAAGCAGTTCAAACCTATTCATTGCATTAAAAGTTAGATATCATATCAGTAGAATGGTCCTTAGAACACATACACAATTACTGTACTGGAGTAAAAATGTGAGTTTTTCGTACATAAATCTTTTCTTTGTAAGCCACTTTCTAAGTCTACCTTACAACATGAAAATATATATGTCCAATTATTAATTTTTTTTGTCAATCTTTTAAAAAAATAAAGGGTTAAAAGTAATTTTCCATGTTAAAATATGGATTAGGATGTGGACTTTATTGGACCCTTTGTAGATTTCACATGTGCTTGGTATCAGTTAATATAATATATATATATATATATATATATATATATATATATATATATATATATATATATATATAGATATATATATATATATATATATATATATATATATATATATATATATATATATATTATATATATATATATATATATATATATATATATATATACTATATTAACTGATACCAAGCACATGTGAAATCTACAAAGGGTCCAATAAAGTCCACATCCTAATCCATATTTTAACATGGAAAATTACTTTTAACCCTTTATTTTTTTAAAAGATTGACAAAAAAAAAATATATATATATTTTTATTTATTTATTTATTTATTTATTTATTTATTAAGATTATCTTTACATTTGACAGCAGCATAGTAAAGTGAAGAACACATTAATGCATCAATAGTTATTATGAAATAATGTAATACAGAGTATTTTAAACTGAGCCATTCTGCATAATGAGTACTTATGTTTATATTTGTAATTAAGATTTTGAATGCAGGACTTTTAATAGTAACAAAGTATGTCCATACTGTGGAATTAACGTTACTACTTAGTTTTTCTGTAGTAAAGTAAAACAGGAGTAGTTCTTCCACAACTGTTTTTACTATTGACAGAGCACATCAAGTGTGGTGTAGTATTTTAGTACGTCCTCCACCACTGTCCCTCCCTTTATAAACCCGTAATGATGTTACCTTCCACCGTCATGTTTGCTAACGCTAGCTCCAGGTCTTCTTCCTCCTCCTCCTCTTCCCCCTCGGTTAGATGTCGAACTCCGGGCTCTTCCTCTGACGGCATTCTAGCAATCTCCCCGCTAGCAGCCATACTGTATGAAATGAAACTTAAAGTTAAACCTTGCTCGTTAAGATGTTTAACAGCTCTGGCAGCTAATATGCTAGCTAGCAGCGACAGTGGCAACACTTAGCACATAAAGACTTTCTTAAAAATGTATTTTTCAGCGATATAAGCTGTTGACAAACTCCAGTTTACACTTGCCGCCATTGACATCCGAAACACACGGAAATAACTGCGTGTCGTTAAATTTGGTCCGGCTGTAACGTCACAAAGATCGTCTATGATGAAAACATGTTTTTTTTTCTGCAGACAACTTTATTAAACATGGCAGAACAGGGTCAAAATAAGTACGTGCATGCCACACTGTGTAAATACCTAAATACTCTTCTACAAGTGAAAGGCCTGCTTTGAAAACTTACTTCAATAAAGTAGCCTAAGTAATGGGAAATGTAGGGTCAATGTAGTTAATGCAAAATAAATGTGTGACTGTAGTGAAGTACGTATTTGTATCTTAGTAAGGTAACATTTCCTCCGGATTGGACATACATGATAGGATTTAAGAAAATATAGCCTATGTAAGGTCTAGGGATGTTCACACATTTTCCCATCAATTTCAGATTTTACTATTTTCAGATTTTCTTTTTGTATTAACTTCTATTTTATGTGCAATTACATAACTCCATAACGTTTAATCTGCTTTCCTTTATTCAACTACTATTTTAATCGTTTTATTTGGTGTTTAACTACTCATTTAATGAATATTATTTATTGGATCTATTGCATTAGTAACGTTTCTTATATTGGCATGTTTTTTTTATAAATTGTTTAGTTTAATTGGATAGTTGTCTACTGAATATTTAATTGTTCTGCTCATTTTGTGTGCTTGTTATCATTTTCAAAATTAGATTATCTTATTTGTATTTCTTTTTTTATTTCATTGTTGTTATTGTTGTAGATCTGGGGAGGAGCGTTGTATAAGCCAGGGACTCAATTATACATCTGTGAAAAACTTTTAAAACAAATCCAAAAATAGCCAAGTAATTACGAGATTTGAGATGCTCTTAATCAAAAGTATTGTGTTCATTTGTCAAATGTAAAGTTCCCCTAAGGTCAGCGTCAAACTGGCGGTGACAGGAAAGAGCTGCAGAGTGAGACCTCTTCTCCTTCCTATCGTCTCTGGCTCCCGTCCATGCTCCCATCAGGACTCCTGTTAGTCACATGACAGAGCCGGGAAAACCTCCTGACTCCCCGCTCCTTCTCTCCTCCCCTCGCTCTGTCAGTCTACTGTTTTCTCGCTCTCTGTCTGTGTGTATATGTGTGTGTCTGTTAGCTAGCTGTTAGCTATCGTCACAATCAACCGCAGGAACGACACCATGGCGGACACAGCCAGGGACCCTCCACCGGACCACACCGACTTCCATGAGCTGGAGGACGGGGAGGACCTGTTCCCGGAACCGACTTCCACTCTGGAGGTAAGGAGGAGGGGATGAAGGGAGGCCGAGGGGAGCTTTGGCAGGCAGGGCGTGATGCTTCCAGCTGACAACAGATGCAAACTTAAGAGGGGGGTGAGCAGTCAGGAGGAGAGCTTTTAAAACGGGTCATTTTTGAATGGGGTTTGGCGTGTGAGTGGTTTTTCCATCCCTGCACTGTCATCATTCAGCAAACAGACGTTTAAACAGTACTGAAAATGATGTTTTTAACAACACTAACGGTGGCCTTCAAGCCACCGTTACAGGAGCCCAGGAGGGTCATATTTGCGCGGAGAAAAACGCAGAATAGGTGTGTTTGTCCCACCGTCATGTGACTGTCACGCAGGTGTGGGTGATGCATTCAGGGCAACCTGCAAAAACGGAAAATAACAGTTCAGCAAAACTAAAAGTTCGTTTTCTTGTGTTGTTGAACTAATTAAAACAGTGGTTGAAGTTGTAAAGTTATTGCATCATAATGTAATGCTGGAGGCAGTGTTAGGACGACTGTTAATCTGATAAATTGAAAGGAAAAAGACACTTAACAAAATAATGTGTTTTGGACATTTTCAATAGTGTTCACTTATAAAACTAAACAAGAAATGGAATTAAAGTGAATACAACTAAGCACTACAGGCATGGTAGTTTTCCTTAAATGGATAAAATGTTATCTATTACTATCTAAGCGCTTCGAGATTTGTCTTGGCAGATGAGAAGCGCTATATAAATTAAATGTATTATTATTAATTTATTATTATTATTATGAGTCATTGGCTTTGGAAATGTATAGAATATGGACATAAAAACCTCAGGAGTATGATTCAGCTTCTCAGAAGCGATTATGAAACCTTGGATGAGGAAGATACATTGACACTTTGTTGGCCAATTGCGTTGGTGCAAGAAATTTGACTCATGTTACCAGTAATGGTGAAAATATTTCCTAACCCTAGGGTTAACCCTAACCCTACAAACAAAGAGCAAAACAAATCCTCAATTGACCTGACCTAAACAATATGTATGTCAGATTGTTTACCCATTTAATTAAACTATTTTGATTTTAATATTAGTATACAGAGAAAAAAGTTAATGGAAAAAAACAACCCTCTCATAAATGATCCAATTTCATCAAATCTTAGAACTAATAATCGTGATGCGCCAGTGAAAGATGGCTGCATTGCCTTTTGGCTCCTCTCCAACTTTGCCCTTTTTCGTATTTTTTTTCGTGTTTATTTACTTTTTGCCGTTTGCTTTTAACATGGTTCGCAACATGCAAGCCGACCGCACCAACTCTGCTATACAATATAGCAGAGAGGAACTTCTTCACATCAGAAACTTTGTGGACAATAGCCCACCGACAAACAATGGAGATTCGCCATGGCTACCTGTTGTCCTACCTGAGAGATGCAAGAAGAAGACCAAGCGGGGGTCCCGCACCGGGCTGCTGGTCAGACTGAGAAAACGAGAAAACCGACCCCCTCTTCCGAGTATTCTTCTGGCTAATGTTCAATCGATTGAAAATAAGCTAGATGAACTCAGAAGTCGGATTGCTTTTCGACGGGACATTAAGAACTGTAACGTGTTCATTCTCACCGAGACTTGGCTAAACCCCGCTATCCCGGACTCCGCCATTGTTCCTGACGGATTCACTATTTTTCGCCAGGACTGGACTGTTAACTCGGGGAAAAGTAAAGGTGGCGGTGTGTGCGTCATGATGAATAAGAACTGGTGTACAGATGTGAGGATTATTTCTTCGGACTGTTCCGCTCATTTAGAGCACCTCATGATCACATGCCGGGCTTTTCACCTGCAGAGAGAATTTACATCTGTTGTGATTACAGCAGTGTATATTCCGCCGCTCGCCGACAACAACATGGCACTCGATCAGCTGTTTGGGATTATCGACAAGAACGAGACTTCACGGCCAGAGGCGGCGTTTGTTGTGGCCGGGGATTTTAACATCGCTAACAAGAAGAAGGTCCTGCCGAAGTACTACCAACACATCAGCTGCCCGGCGCGCGGGGGAAACATACTGGACCATGTTTATTCCCCTTTTTGACATGGATATAAGGCTCTCCCTCGCCCTACCTTCGGCAAATCAGACCACATCTCACTGCTGCTGCTGCCTGCTTACAAGCAGAAACTAAAACAGGATAGACCGGTAACAAAGACACTACAACGATGGAGTGAGGAGTCAGATTCAGCACTGCAGGATTCCTTTGAATCTACGCATCTGTGTTTGAGGACAACAACATCAACACACACACGGACACGGTCATCTGCTACATTGGGAAATGCATCAATGACGTGGTACCGAAGGTTTCTGTACGAACATTCCCGAATCAAAAGCCCTGGATAAACGGCGAAGTGCGTTGCAAGCTGAAAGCGCGCACAGAGCTGGAGATTTGGAGGAGTTCAGGAAATCTAGGTATGAACTCCGGAGTGCTATTAGCAGTGCAAAGAGACAATACAAAGACAAGGTGGAATCTGACTTCAAAGGCTGTAACACCCGGAACATGTGGGCGGGACTAAGAACAACTAGAGAATGCAATTCCTGAAGAAACTGCTAGTGGGAATGCTTTATGCTGAAAAGCTGACGCTAAACTGCTATGCCGAAATGTAATGTGTTAGAAGAAAGTGAATAATTTAGATTGAAATGATACATGAACACTGGGGGCTTGAATGTGTGATGAGAGAAGAAAAGAAAGTAAAAGGCTTGGAAAAGCAGCAGAATATTTGAACTGCAAACTTTTGAACTAACTTGATGGCAAATGATCTGTTGCCATGCCAACGGCATTTGATGACATCCCATAATACGCTTAGATGCGTTGATGGCTACATCATTACCAAACCTGTGAAGTTTTGGGCCGTTTGGAGCATTTTCACTGAAGTTATGAGAAAACCGTGTTTCATGGCGAGCCTTGTGTTGCCATGGGAACGGCATATCCCGTAGATGTCTTCACGGCTGGACTGTTAGCACACATGTGAAGTTTGAGCACTTTTTTTAACATTTTCATAGGAGTTATAGCGACATCATGTTTTATGGCGAGGGATGCGTTTCCATGGAAACGGCATATGATGAAACCCCATAATTGACGTAGAGCTGTTGAGGGCTGGACCGGTGATATACAAGCAAAGTTTGGGGGACGATCGGACCGTGTCCATTGGACTTATAGCGACATCGTGTTTCATGGCGAGTGGTCTGTCGCCATGGCAACGGCATTTGATGACACCCCATAATACGCTTAGATGCGTTGATGGCTGCATCGTTACCAAACCTGTGAAGTTTTGGGCCGTTTGGAGCATTTTCACTGAAGTTATGAGAAAACCGTGTTTCATGGCGAGCATTGTGTTGCCATGGCAACAGCATTTGAAGAAACCCCATAATTGACGTAGAGCTGTTGAGGGCTGGACCGGTGATATACAAGCGAAGTTTGGGGGACGATCGGACCGTGTCCATTGGACTTACAGCGACATCGTGCTTCATGGCGAGTGGTCTGTCGCCATGGCAACGGCATTTGATGACACCCCATAATACGCTTAGATGCGTTGATGGCTGCATCGTTACCAAACCTGTCAGTGACATCATCGTGTTCCATGACACAGGTGTTTATATTTGAGCTAACGACGACAGCTGTGTGTCACCAATAATGTATAAAATAGGTGGAACATGTTGAAGTCAGTATGAAGTCTCCATCAGACAGAAAAGAATAGGCTCAGACAGGCCGTTTCTCAATCGCGAGGATATTGGCTTCCAAGCCAATATTTCAAGGATGCTACGTCATCGAGTGCCGCCGAAGGACTGTTCCAATCTCCAGCATACTTGGAATTCCACCGAGGCCGCGTCCTTGGTTTGAGGGAAATTTCGAGGCTGCACATGGGTAGAATTTGCGTCCTTAAAATCCCTACAATGCTTTGCGCATGGACCAATTTCCCCAAATCTGTGGCGGAAGATGTAAGGCGGGGCCTCTCATATGACGCACACCTGCACACTTGCTAGCCTGTTCCACTCTTTGTTTTCCGAATGCCAGGAAGTATTCTTGCCTTGCTTCTGAAGCAAGATGCTCGGCTCGGCTGTGCTACCAAGCCAGCATCCTCGCGATTGAGAAACGGCCACAGTCTGTTAAACTCCAGTGACCACGTCGTTAGCTCAAACACGAACACCTGTGTGTTATGACATCATCGTGTTCCATGACACAGGTGTTTATATTTGAGCTAACGAGGTGTGCAGAGATCAAAGATTTCCATTGTTCTGAATGAGAGATAAACCTCTTACATGTGAACGTTTTGTCGAAGAACCGTAACAGATATCTGTGAAATTTCAAAACGTGAAGCATGTCAAGGAAGTTGAGTATCCGAAGTGTAATTTTTGTGTACTTTCGGGTTAATAATGTGGCCTTTTTGGCAGTTTAACTAAAAGTGTGCGGCTGCTACTGTGAGGAAATATCAGCCTGAAATTACAATGGGCTTTAATGGAGGCACGTTGAAAGTTTTTGTCACTTCATGCCCTCGAGGCATTTTGTTTAATTATTTTTTGCTTATTTATTTGTCATTTTTCAAGCTACGAGATGTATTCCTACGTTTGTCATGAAAAATTATGTCTCAGGAATGTAGGGTTTGCGAATTATGGCAGTTTAAAAAATATGAAGGCAAATTTCAAACTGTCCTCCACTCTAACTCTGACATCACGCACTCTGCCTTAACGAGCTGCGCAATGTTAAAGTTAAAATGTTATGTTAATAATAACATAATGTTAATGCTATATCTCTGGAATTATGAAGGTTATGAATGATAAAAGTAATAGCAGTCGATTCCCGACCGAGCTGAACGTTTTGATGTTTGAACGGAGTTTCTGCGATGTTCAATCCGGGAGGAGAAGAGGTGCAAAATTCCGGCGGAATAATAAAGAATTTCGTGCGTAGAAGAACAGATAGTTGGAATGCTGTTAACAGCATTCCCACTAAATGACAGACTACAAAGGAGCAGCGGGGGGTGCTGCAGGAGTGTCT